TTACAGATCAAAAACTAGTCATCATTTTTTTCCTCTCTAAATAACAAGGAAATCTTGCCTTGTTTTCTTGCCAAGAAGTGAATCTTACTTTGTTTATTGCACTTAAGTTATATCTTTCATAAAATCAGTAATAGTTTAAGGCTATTTGGATGATTTGTATTTACCATAGCTTGAAACAGAATTCTTAAGAGTCTGATACAGAATTAAAGGTTCAGAAATTCTTTTGAGATGCTAGCAATCTTAATTATCCTGGTTTTATTTTTTAATACTGTGAAAAAATAATAAAACTACTATTTACTGACTAATGGCTTTATGATTAAGTACATATTTCACATTTTGCCTGGGCTGGTGGCTTAGATGATAAAAAAATCCGCTTGCGATATGGGAGATCTGCGTTCGATCCCTGGGTTGGGAAGATCCCCTGGAGTGGGGCATGGCGATCCACTCCAGTATTATTGCCTGGAGAATCCCCATGGACAGAGGAGCCTGGCGGGCTACAGTCCATGAGGTTGCAAAAAGCCAGACATGACTGGACTGAGTGACTGAGCACTCACATTTTGCCTAATACAAGAGCAAGCAAGAGAGAATTCGCATAAGAATTCAGTTCAATTCAGTCGCTCAGTCATGTCCAACTCTGTGACCCCATAAACCGCAGCACGCCAGGCCTCCCTGTCCATCACCAACTCCCGGAGTCCACCCAAACCCATGTCTATTGTGTTGGTGATGCCATCCAACCATCTCATCCTCTGTCATCCCCTTCTCCTCCTGCCCTCAATCTTTCCCAGCATCAGGGTCTTTTCAAATGAGTCAGCTCTCCACATCAGGTGGCCAAAGTATTGGAGTTTCAGCTTCAGTATCAGTCCCTCCAATGAACACCCAGGACTTCTCTCCTTTAGGATGGACTGGTTGGACGAAGTGAGCCAAAAGTATGGAGGGAATATTTATTTGCATAAAATAAGAAAAGCAAATGTTTACTCTTGTTTAATGAGAACATGTTCTTTGGCACAAGCTTCACAGAGACTATCAAGAACAGAATCCCTTAGGATAAAGTTTAAAGTAACATGTAATAGATACCTATGAATTTCTACAGGACTGTAAGCAATTTGTAAGTTAAATGCACAGGAGGTAAACAGGTTCTTGTATTTCAAACTGTGCTTGTGAAAGGAATATGTTAAAATCTGCAGTACTACAATACAGTGTTAATTCTGCAGATCAAGACTTCCTGGTGAAATTTTAATGTTTTTACCTCTATCTTGATGCTAAACACCATACAAATGTTAAACAGTTAAGCTATTCAGGCTCATTTTCTGTCCTTAGGGTTTATGTATTTATTAAAATTATATTTTTTTCCAAGTCATCTTGCTTTTGGGGCTTAGAACTCATCTTTCTTATGAAATTTTCTTTTTTCTTATTTAAAGAATAATTCTTAAACTAACATATGTTAGTATGTTCTATTAGTGAGCACTTTTAAGAGCTTTCAGGCTTTCCTGGTGGCTCAGCTGGTAAAGAATCCACCTGCAGTGCAAGAGATCTGGGTTCGATCCCTGGATTGGGAAGATCCCCTGGGGAAGGGAATGACTACCCATTCCAGTATTCCGTCCTCGAGAATTCCATGGACTCTATAGTCCTTGGGGTTGCAAAGAGTCGGACTCAACTGAGCAACTTTCACTTTAAGAGCTATCAGTGCTCAGTGAGCTGAGTAGGCTGTTATTCCCTGATTAACTGGGAATCGAGGATTGGATCCCCACTTGGGAGAGACCAGATCTGACCCCAGGAAACCCAATAAAATTAGGATATACAGACAGAAGGGAAAATATATAACAAGAGTATATTTACACATTAATTTTGGGGGGCCATATGTCATGGTTTATGGGATCCTAGTTCTCTGAACAGGGATCGAATCCGGGTCTATGGCAGAAAAAGTGCTGAGTCCTAACGACTGGACACCAAGAAATTCTCTAGATATTAACTTTTTAAATATAAATTTTGCCTCTCTATGTGATACAGTATCAGGCAAGAATTAAAAGAAGAGGTTTGGGGTCAAAATTACCTTCTTTGGACAAGTCAATAAACTTCTCTGAACATCTGTTTCCTGCTTTGTAAATGGAGAGGATAATCTCTCCTATTCATATTGATGTGAGAATTAGATTAAACAATGCCTGTGAAATATTTGTGAGGTAGCGTACATGGCAAGCCTCTTAAAATGTTGTCCATTATGGTATTTGGGAGAGCGGGGGTAACCATCATTTCTCTGTGAGATCGAGAGAAGTGTGGAATTCCTCCAGTCTTATGTGAAAACTTGCTGTTGTGGCCTCTAACAATAAATTAATGTCTTATTTTTCAAATTTTTGATTGGCCAGGTTTTTAAACAAGCAATATTTTCTTTTCCTTTTGTTTACTGCTTTTGTATATACTTCATTAACAATTCATTTAGAGGCCAGTGTGGTTTGTCAGAAATAGCTGCTCACACCACAGCATCTTTCTTGAGGAAGAGAGGTGCTCATTAGACTTCCTTCCATAGGTGGTGGTGATGGGCCCTCTGCCTTAATGATCCAACATTCTAATCAGACTGTTGTCATTCTCTGCAAACTAAAGAATTATCCTGAATTGTGAAAAATCACCATGTACTCTCAAGTGAAAGATTTCGTCCAAGAATTTTTTGTATTTGTTCATGTGGCTTCATTGTCTTTGGGTGAAATTTCCCAACTGGTGTGCTCCTAATAGGTTATAAGCATATCAACATGATTCCCCTGCATCTTGGGGCATCAGGACTTGAGTCACTTGCTTCTAGGTCAACATTCTTCTTGGTGTGCACACGTCATGGTCTCTGTCATAGTGTGACAGAAGTACAGAAACACTGGCCATGGTGAGGTGAGTCATCAGATTGGCGTGAAATCCAATCATAGGGTGGGAATTGTGTGTGTAGCTTGGATTAGGCTCCTTGGAATTCCTGGGAATATGGAAGAAAGAAATGAGATTGGCTTCGGGGAAGGGATTTTATTGCATACCAGAATCTTTTGTTTCCTTCTTCAGATGTTGGTTTTTTCCTGTATACTATGTTTGTCTTCTACCAACTTATATAAAGAGTTTGAGACAACTGACAACAAAAGATTCAGAAATTTATATACATAGATACATACAAATGTAAACCCATACATTGTATGTATATATGTGTTTTTATAATATAATATCCAATCCACAGTGAGGGTGGCTATAGTATGACTGATAGGTAGAAATAAAACTCTTAGAGAAAGCCTTTTTTTTTTTTTTGCTCAAAAACTCTGGCTCCTTTTTGCTCAAAATTTTTATCAACTGTGATTATTACCTGCAAATTATTCATGCCACTCATTTTCTTTGTTAAACCAGCCTGTGAAATTCAGTCATCAGTCTCTTAGAATCCTCCAAAAAGTGTTCATGTATCCTGCCTGTTTCTCCAACACTCCATGGCTTGTACAGATCATCAAGGATTTGTATTCATCTGAGCTCATAAACTTCAGAGGCCTTGGCCCAGGCCGTGTGAATCTGCACATCCCCACCACCCCACCTCACTTCCCTATAGCAGACAGACACTAATTTTTATTACATTTCTGTCACCTGAAGCTTTATACCATAATATACTTTTCCTGATAAAGATGGAAACTTAAGTTAGCATCATACAATGCTTTGATTTTCTATTCTGTGTACATGTGAGCTAAGTCACTTCAGTCATGTCTGGCTGTTTGTGACTCTGTGGACTATAGCCCACCAGGCTCCTCTGGAATTCTCTAGGCAAGAATACTGGAGTGGGTTGACATGCCTTTCTCCAGGGATCTACCCAACACAGGGATTGAACCCATATCTCCTGTGTCTCCTGCATTGCAGGCATGTTCTTTACCAACTGAGCCACTGGGAAAGCCCAGTTCTATTCTACCTGCTGTCTTTTTAGGCCAAGATCATTTCCCAAAATAAAATTACCTCAGGGGATGAGGTGATAATTGAGTGAATATTCATAGACCTCTTAGCACAGTGCCTTGCATATAGTAAGCACCTGGTAAATGTTGTCTGTTATAATCATTAGCCTTTGAAATAAGCATTTTAAATACTTAGCATAATGAAAAGAAGTTGGTCCTACATTGAGAGCCAGCTTAAATGTGTCAAAAGCTTAAAGCAAACTTAAATTTGCTCAAAAGCAAATTTTGAGCGAAAAGGAGCCAGAGGTTTTAAGCCAAAAAAAAAACAAAAAACTTCTTAGACTTTCTCTAAGAGTTTTCTTTCTACTTGTTGGTCATGCTATAGCCACCCTCACTGAGGGCTGGATATTATATGTTGAGAGCAGGCTTAAGTGTGTCATAAAGTCGAACTCCCCACCTCTGTGAGTTATGCTTTGTTGTCTCCATCAAGTTGTTTTCCTCTCCCTGTGCTTCAGTGTTTCCATCTGAAAAATGAAATAGTACTATTACTAGATAGGGCTGGTTGTGAGAAGTTAATACATATGAAATTTTGAATGTACAGCTTGTACACAGTCAGCATTTAGTAAATGTTAACTATGGTTAGAAAACCGAGAAAGAAAGAAGAATTTCTGTTTCCAAAGTTCAACATTTAATTTTGTCCTACTTTTCTGGACACTGAATGTGTAATTAACCACATCTTTCTCTCCACGTGTATAGCTGAGGCTTCTGGATTCCTCACCTGTGATGCCTGCTCACTCATCTCTCTACTAACACCTACTGACTTTGGATAGTTTTGGATTCAAGTCCTACTCAAATATTCTCATCTGCCTCATCAGTTTACTGAGTGTATCATAAGAGCTAATGCCCAGAAAGTTCTTATCAGAGTGTTTGACACATGCAATAAATATCATAATGACCACAAATAATTGTATTTCTTTGGATGGTAAAGCATTTCCTGCCTTTCCAACAAATCTTTTGAGTAAAGGAGTTGAATCCCAGCAAAACAGTCAAGTTTATCTTTGAATAGAATCCTTGTTAAGGAGGTCTCTGTACCTATCTTCTCTATTTCAGATGTTTCTATTTATGACTGGTGTGGCGGGTGTGATGGTGGGTGTGATTCCTTGGATTGCAATACCCGTGATTCCCCTTGGCATCATTTTCTTCCTCCTTCGGATATATTTCTTATGGACGTATGGAGATATCAAACGCCTGGAATGTACAAGTGAGTGCTAGCGTTCTGAGGTTGGGATGGCTATGTAGGCTGAATTCTGTTTATGCCATAATTAACCAGACCCCTGAAATTCTGCAGACTGTCTTCCAGAATTTTTCACTAAGTTGACTCATTGGAAAAGACTCTGATGCTGGGAGGGATTGGGGGCAGGAGGAGAAGGGGGCAACAGAGGATGAGACGGCTGGATGGCATCACCGACTTGATGGACATGAGTTTGAGTAAACTCCGGGAGTTGGTGATGGACAGCCAGGCCTGGCATGCCACAGTTCATGGAGTTGTAAAGAGTTGGACACGACTGAGTGACTGAACTGAACTGAACTGAACATTGGGTAATTAAATATACTATGACTCCCAAGAGTCAGCGTGGCCCTTAAGGTAAATGGATCTGGTGGCAGGTCAGTTGCAGCTTTTCATTTTAGTACAGTGATTACGAATGTGAGTACCACGAGGATAGGAACTGTTTTTATTTTGTTCATGACATGCTTCCTAATACAGAGCAGCAACTCCATAAACACTTTTCAAAAAAATAAAATGTTTCATCATACTGGAACTAATGTAGAAGGAAACTAGGAGATTCTTCTCTCCCTGAAGTTACTAGAAATGACAAGGAAAGAAAAAGCTCATGAAAAGGAAAAGAGGCATCAGGAAATATACTTCCATGTTAGAGGTGATATATCTGAAAAATACATTCTCTCATATACTCCAAAGATGGCAAATAAATTTCAGTTGTTAAATGCTTTGCAAAGATAAGCCCTGTTATTTTTCAGATTTGCTCTTTATCATCGCCAGTATTTGAGTGATGCCACACTGTTTGTGGTCTCCCTTTTCCAAAGTTATTCATTTAAATAGATGCTGAAAATAATCCCCTTAGGAGGACACAGGAAAGAGATCCATTTAGTATGCATTTAGTCTATTTTTCCATTCAAGTCCCTAGTTTTAGAATAATGGGGAACACATTTTATGATTAATTATTCCATTATGCAGGTAATCATAGAGGATGAAATAATTCAGAGATTATCTCACTATTAATGCATAAACATATTTCATCAATATTAAAACAAAAAATCATAAGGAAAGTAGAATTGTTACATGTCTTTTCAAAAAGGTATAAAAGGACAGTAGCCAAAAAACAAGGAAAGATAGATAGTTATTGCAAATTCACACCAATTTGACTTTGTGGAAAACAACCAAAAAGACAAGCATATTGATCCCATGACTTTTTGTATTTACTAAATGGGGAAAAAATATAAATTCATCAAGATAAAGGAGTTTTGGGTTGTAAAATTTGCATATTTTTTAATAATAAACTATTGAGTGACGTTTATCCTAAGTATTTGCATAAAGGATAGTGTCATTTTTGTAAAAGCTATAAAAAATTTAACTGTTCAAGAGAATCAGCTGACCTCCCATGAGGTCTGGTCTTATGAGGTGTTTAGATGGATGGGGAGCAGTAGAGTCCAGGTGTGTGTGATGTCCTGCTCATGTGACCTTGGTAGGATGGTAGGACCTGGGGAGGCAGAAGAGGAAGTGATGAACTCCATCCAGTCTTCTGCGTGGACAAGGTGTCAGATGTTTTATGATCTGAGGCCACCCATGAAACTGAGTCATTCAGCAGTCTTGTTGCAAAGCAGGTGTCTGGTACATTCAAAGAGGGATTGTCCCAGAAGGAACATGTGACTGAGATTTATGCTTGGAGAATGTGCCACTTCCTTTTGTATGGAAATGGAAAAAGGTACCTCCTGAGGCTTTTTCAAGGAGCAATACAGGATTTTCTCAGTGTTTGATCTGGAGAGTCTGAGAATTTTGGCCCTATCCCTGTGAATATTGGCGTTTGTTGCACTCTAACAGGCTGCCACAATATTAGACAATAAATTCAACCCAACCCAAGTACTCTTTCCTCCACACCCCAGATAACCAAATATGGTGGCCAGTTGATTAGAGCTATTTAAATTTTCTCTCTAGGTGATGAGTCTGTGCCATAAATACTGCCACTGTTTTCTTTAAATAGTAACTGATAGTAAAAAAAAAAAAAAAAAAGTCACTGCTGAGGAACCAGCAAAAAGAAAGACACCCAGTTGCTTTCTTCAATTGCATAAGCTTGCTTCATCCTTGTACTCTGAAGGACTACTGGCATCTTGAGGTTTAATTTCAGATCCAAATGCCTAGCTGCCTCTGGAAACTTAGCTTAATTTTTGTCATCTTAATGACACATCTACAGCTGATTATAATTTTTATTTTTTTGCACATTTTTACAAAGGTAAGCACAACAATGATCAGTCATGGAGAAGTACATAAAACTAAATGATGCTTAGCTGAATTTTTCTAGCCAACTCTTTCCATTTGGCAGTGCCTGAATGATGAAGCCATATCCGAATTCTATCTGAAAAGGTTCTGTGGTCAACTAGCAATGTCTGCCATGGTCATCACTAGAGAAGGGTTAGCAGGTGTGTCACATATATGCAGACCATGACTCCTCAAGTCTGCTGTTTTAAGGGGTTCTCATGCCAGATTCCCAGGGACTTTGTTCACCTGAAGGTATTTAGTAAGATGTGCAGTCATGGCTAAGACTATTGGATATTAGTTAAGTAAGATTTTGAAGTTTTTTGAACATAAATGGCAGAGTCTGGAGAAAAATGCATATAGTCACACATGAGTGTCCTTAACCCTTCTCCTTCTGAGACAGTGCAGCTGTGACTAAAAACACGGCTTTGGGAATAAGACAGAGTTGTGTCTGACACCCAGCTCACCACTGAACAGTGAGTGTTCTTAGTCCCTCAGTCTCAGGGTCCTTATGAGGATTTCTTGAGTGAGTGCTTATAAAGTACTTGTTGGCCATTTCCAAAGGCATAGAGGCTTGAACATGAGGGAATTAAGAACACAGTAAGCAGGTCTCAGGAAGCGTGAATGATGACCTGCAACAAGAAAGTCAGCCCTGGGTCTCTGCATGCAGTTCCCCCTGCCAGGGAAGATCAGCAGTCCTTGTGGGGTGTGTCCCCAAGTATCCCCAAGGTTGTGGAAAACACAGCTGTCAGTCATGTAAATAGTAAGATGACACCCGTCTGTGACTGTGGACTGACACCATGGCTGTGACCTAGTCTTCTTCAGGACAGTGAGCTCAGTTCTTCTGGGAAAAGAGGATGTAACATTGGGCAAGACAAGACCAGAGCCTTCACATTCTCTTTTCCCTGTACTAGTTAATTTTCTTTGCAGATCCTCTGTTTCACTCATCCTGGCTTCCTGCTTAGCCCTAGTGGGTTTTTAAACAAGCAGGATGATTTTTCACAGGTCAGCATTCCCTCTGGCCCACTGTAACTTTTGGGTATGAGGTGAGGTAGGTGATGGGGTATTTGGCTTCCCTGGTGCTGAGATGACACCTGGTTTCTAAAGTCAACCCTACTCTCCATCCCTGCTGGAGAGAATCAGCTGCACTTTGATCTCCTGATGAGGGAAGCAGGTGAGGGAGGCCACACTGACGAGTTCATTCCAGGACTCTCCTTGGGAGAACAGGCATGTCTACTTCCTCCTCAGAAGCTTTGTCTGTGATGAATAGTGTTGATGTCACAACATTTGCTCTGGGAATGAAAGTGTGGTTCTGGTGAGTGTTCAACACTCTCTGAAACTGGGTTCTCTGCATCAGTACACTGAGCCCTGGAATTCATCTGCATCATCCCTGTGTGTACCATGTGTCCAGATGGGCTGATTTTCTGGGGTCTGATTGGAACACCTGCTGGGGGTCCAGAAAAGGCCTGAACAGAGCTCCAGCCCTTCTTATCTGGACCAGGAGCTTAGTCTGTGTTCATGTTGCTGTCTTTAAAGTATAAAGTTAAAGGAAGCTAAAATAAATAAAAGTTTAGGGTCACTCAATAGAATGAAGAGAGAGAACAGTGTGGATGCTGAAGTAAGACCACAGACATGCCCTTGGACAGTCAGAAGCACCAGCAAATCACTTTAGGCTCTTTGCATGAGTTAGATTCAAGGGGAAATGTTAGATCAAGTCCTGGTTCAAAGAAGGTTTTTTCCTTGAAGGAATATTACAGCTGAGGGCCTCTAACAGTTAGGGTTCCTGGTCACATGTCCCAGTCAGGAAGTAGCCCCAGGGCTGAGTGGATGGTCAGCTGGCCCCCAGCCCAAGCTGTCCTTCCCCAGCCCAGGGCTTCCCACCCCCTCTGAGCCCCAGTGTCTCACAGGAGGAAGCCTGTTCCTTCCTTGCTAGTAGAACCAGTGACACTAGGCGGAAGAAGAGGTTCTGTGTCTTTGCCCGTCTGTACCTCAGCCCACCCCTGACACACACCTGCAGTACCTGTGTGCCTGTCAGTAGTGGCTGAACCGTCACCCACACAGGCATTCAGGTGCTGGATTAAGGAGTGAGGACTTGAAAATAATTTGGAGATTTGCCCTTGATTCTTTTTCCCCATCATTTTATAAAGTCTCTGTAGCCTCCTATAAGATAAGTGATGTTCACTTCCCCTAAATATCCAGGTTTTACTAACAGGTCTTCTCTAGGAGATGCACAGGTAACAAAGTGATGTCAGTATTTCCTGCTGATAAAACACAAGTTCTCTATCACTCATCCCGGACAGAAGTCACAGGCTCACTATCTGCCCCTGACAACAGCAGGTTACAGCCTTGTCCATGGTGGGAATGAGACCATAAGGGGTCATCACTGCCCAGCAGCCTGCAGCCCACCTGTTCCCTGATGTGCAGGAGCCTGACCCTGGTACTCACAGTCAGTTGTGCTCTTAGAGAAGATGGGGGGAAATGGATGACCAGTGATATGACACTAGACCCCAAACCCACATGAAATCATTCAAGACAGTAGCCTCTAAGGCCACTGTCGGATTCTAAAAGGGTGATATGAGTGTCACAGCTGCAGTGACCTCCAAACACCAGGACAGGTATCCAGCAGGCAGATATAAAAACATCCATCAGGTTCCCAGAGCAGAAGTCAAGACTGTTCAAAGACCCCTTGTCTGCCAGGTCCTGTGGGCACAAGGGTGGTGCAGAACCAGATGCTCCATGACCCGCATCCTGGTGCAGATGCAGGGAGAGCCCCAGGATGGGGCAGACAGCAGACTGTTCTCTCTCCTTTCTCATCTCACCCTGTCCTGTGTCTGGCTCGGGTCCAGGATGGGGGATGTACTGACTCTATCCCAGCCCTTAGGCTAATCATCTAAGGTGGAGACAAAACACAGGTAGCTCATCAAAATTCAGGGTGGTGAGTGCTCTCACAGAGAATTAAATTTTAAAATTCCACTGACTCAAATATTTGTGAACAGTAATTTCCACCCAGAGGGATGTCAGGGAAGAATAAGGAGGGAGGCCTTATTTGAGGAGAACCAACTGAATGAGTTAGCAAAGAATTTCATTGTCTAAATCTAGCTCCAGTTTGAATGTGGTCCAATATGGTTTCAAAACATATCTTTGATTTCCAGGTTGTTAAAGTGAAGCTTGCTTTAAGCAAGAGTTTGAGGGTTCTCGTAGAGAAACCTCTTGAGAAATGATGTCATTTTTCCTCCCCCAGGCAGCCCGCCAGGAAGCCCCAGGTGTGCCGTTTGGCAGGATGTGTGACCACAGAGCCTGGGAGGCAGTGGGTTTTCTTGCATCCAGCCTCCCTGACTTTCTCTGTTATGTGTCTTCCGCAGCTCGGAGCCCGGTGTTTTCCCACTTAGCATCTTCTCTCCAAGGACTCTGGAGCATCCGGGCGTACAAAGCTGAACAGAGGTTTCAGGAAGTGTTTGATGCACACCAGGATTTGCACTCAGGTCTGTATGTTTCTGGAGATGATTTCTAAGGATGGAATGTGCTGCCTTCTGAGGCTGACTCCGTCTCGGGTGGCCTTGCTGGCCCACACCTCTCTGTGCTGCCCCTCATCCCCCTCTGCACACCTGCCTCCCCCACCCCTTCCTCTCAGCATCCTCTGTGTGCTCCTCTATTCCCCTGTCACACCCCTACTTTCCTCCCCCTTATGGCCTTGTATTGTCCAATTGTCACCACGTCTTATGGTTTTGTCTCTTTAGGACAGGAGTCAATGAACATTTTTTTGCAGAGAGCCAGATAGTAAACATGGCAGGCTTTGTGTGCTGTGCGGTCTCTGTTGCAACTACTCACCTTTCATGTTGTAGCATGAAGACAGACAAAGGGACTATATCAGCAAATGGCCCTAGCTGTGTTCCAACAAAACTTTATTTTCAGAACCACATGGTGGATTATTCCTGGCCCCCAGACTCTAGTTTGCCAACTTTCTTTTCAGAGCATGCAGAGTGGCAGGCGTGATTGAGGCAAATCATTTCCTGATTTGTTGCTCACTTGATAGAAAGAAATTATTTTTTTGTGTGTCAGTGAAATATTTTCCCTAGGTGGTGATTTCAGAATATGCTCTAGGTCTGTAAGATCCTGCCTTATCTTTAAACTCTTTATTGCATTTTTCAAGATAAGGTATCATTTTGAAAGCCATGGGCAGATCCTTTTAGCTGATGGTCATTTTAGATACTGGCTCCCTGGAGAAGGAAATGGCAACCCACTCCAGTATCCTTGCCTGGAGAATCCCATGGACAGAGGAGCCTGGCAGGCTACAGTCCATGGGGTCACAAAGAGTCGGTCATGACTGAGCGACTAAGCACACGTAAGATTATGTGTAGGGCCCTATAGTAAGTGCTAAAGATGCTGTAAACAGAGTGAACTGTGCTGTCTGCTGTCAGAGAGCTGGGAACAGTAGACCATATGATAGGATGATTCATATTGAGCCCCAGCACTGCAGGAAACACACCAATGAGACCATTTTTCCATCTTCTTTATGACTATAATATTTCTGTTTATAACCTGTGGGTTGAAATTTTCAGTGCGTGCTTTCCACGAAGCCCCTGGAGTGATTCCTATGTGTCCTATACATTGTCTGGTATCAGAACCTAGCTTTCTGGATCTTCAGGCTCCTTGGTTCTGTAACTTTGCTGTCCTACCTTGTGTAAAAACCTTCTGTAGCTTAACTGAGAGAAGTGTCCTCCCTCGCTCGAAGCAGCTAACATGATATTTCTACTTGTTTATTGTGGTTCACAAATCCAGAGGCTTGGTTCTTGCTTTTGACCACATTTCAATGGTTCGCCGTGCGTCTGGATGTCATCTGTGCCGTCTTTTTCATTATCATTTGTTTTGGGTCCCTGATGCTGGCAAAAAGTAAGTACAGATGTGAATAACTGTTTGTGGTATGGTTATAATTTATACCTGCATTAAGTTGTTAAATTGAACTCTTGCCACTTTGTCTGACATCATATACCCTTTGTTTGACATCATATACCCTTTGTTTCTAATGAGTTGTATTAAAATGTTTGCAGCATTTCATTCCACAGTGAGTTATTTGGGTCTTGATGAGACCTTTTATCCCTTTATCTTTCTTTGAATGAGTTGAGGTTTATGCAGCTGTAGCAGGCAGACTTCTGAACATTCTGGGTAGTGTCCTGTAGTTGGGGAAGAGAGAACCAAGTTTACAATTAAGTTTTTTCTCCAGTTTAGGGCTTTAGGTTTTAGCTCTAGGTCTACTCAGATCTCTTGGTTGTAGGTGCCTGGTACACTGGAGTGGGAAGATATTCTGTAGGATAGAACACTATCCTCATGACTATGTGGGTACCAGATGAGCAGATGTTGGTGTGAGTGGCATGAATTCACCATCTGTAATTGCTCCATAGTAACAAAACTGAATCACAGTTTTTAATAATGGAAAAATGAAAGTAGTATTTAGATTTGAAAGCAGAGGCTCTTAGAACCCTTGTTTTTTGTGATTTATTCCTATAGCTGTGCTTTCCTTTGAAAGTGTTGGATAATAGTTCTCAAAACCATATGACCAAAGTTTGAATGATGCCATTATTTATCACCTGTATGATGCTGTCAAGTGTGCCTCAATCCTCTTGGGATTAATGAACTAATAGTCTTTATGAATTCACAAATAGTGAAGGACAGGGAAGCCTGGTATGCTGCAGTCCATGGGGTCGCAAAGAAATGGACATGACTTAGAGACTGAACAACAACATGAATTTATAATGAGGTTTTTGTTTGTTTGCTTTTTTCCCATTGTATCATGGTCTCAATCAACACATAGTAAAAGTATAAGTAATATACTACCATTATATGCAAAGGATTCAAATATTATAAAGGAGTCTTTCTGATAAAAGGACAGAAGGAGCCTGGTTTGGAGTTAAGAATGGGACTGAGTTGTCTCTTCAGCAAGTTATATTGTGAAAGTTGGACAGCTATATGTCAATCAATGAAGTTTGAACACACCTTCACACCCTTCACAAAAATAAACTCAAAATGGCTTAAAAACTTAAACATAACACATGACAGCATAATACTCCTGGAAGAGAACATATGCAAAACAAACAGTCTCTGACATAAATTGTACCAATGTTTTCTTAGATCTGTCTCCCAAGGTGATATAAATAAAAGCAAGAAAAGCAAATAGGATCTAATCAAACTTACAAGCTTTTGTACAACAAAGGAAACCATAAACAAAACAAAAAGACAACCTGCAGACTAGGAGAAAATATTTGCAAATGACATGACCTCCAGTGCTTAATTTCCAAAATGTGCAAACAGCTCATATAACTCAGTAACTATCAAGCTAATTAAAAAATGGACAGAAGACTTAAATAGACCTTTCTCCAAAGAAGACACAGATAACCAAGAGGCATGTGAAAAGATGCTTATCATTGCTAACTATTAGAAAGATGCAAAGCAAAATTACAAAGAGGTACCACTCCACACCAGTCAGAATGGCCATCATTGAAAAGATTACAAATAGTAAAAACTGAAGAGAACGTGGAGGGAAGGGAACCCTCCCACTCTGTTGGTGGGAATGTAAGTTGGTACAGTCACTATGGAAAACAGTATGGAGGTTTCTCAAAACACTAAAAAGAGAGTTGTCATATGACCCAGCAGTTCCACTCCTGGGCATATATCAGAAGAAAACTATAATTCAAAAAGATATATCCATCCCTATGTTTACAGCAGCACTATTCACAATAGCCATGCCATGGAAACTATCTAAATATTCATGAGTAGATGAACAGATAGAGTAAGATGTGGTATTTATATACAATGAAATATTGCTTAGCTATTAACAAGAATGAAATAATGTGTTTTCAGCAGCATGGATGGACCTAGAGATTATCATACTATGTGAAGCAAGTCAGATAGAGAAAGACATATGATACTATTTACTTGTGGAATCTAAAATATGACATAATTGAACTTATCTATGAAACAGAACAGACTCACATACATAGAAAACAGACTTCTGGTTGCCAAGAGTGAGGTGAGATGGGGGAGAGATGGACTTTGGAACTTGGGATTAGTAGATGCAGTCTACTATATATGTAGAATGGATAAGCAACAAGGCCCTACTATATAGCACAGGGAACTATATTCAATATCTTCTGATAAACCATAATGGAAAAATATATGAAAATGAATGTACATATAACTGAATCATTTTGCTATACAGCAAAAATGAATGCAACATTGTAACTTAACTATACTTCAATAAAATAAGTTTTTTAAAAAAGATTGGGACTGACTTTATTCCCCTTTCTCTTCCTCATTTAGCTTTGAATCCAGGGCAGTTTGGCATAGTGCTTTCTCTTGCCCTCACATTCACATGGATATTCCAGTGGTGCGTCAGACAAAGTGCTGAAGTTGAGAAAATGGTGATGTTTATCTTGATGTTCTCAGCCTTTTCTAGTCTCCTTGTTATTAAATGGCATAAAAGTAGTTCTTATGTAAAATATTTGACTTGTTATTTTTACATTGTGGGTAATAGTTTTTTAGATCCTTCCTCCATCTGTTAAAAATGAATATAAAATAAAATGTATACATTTTTTCTCAGTCTTATGTGTACCATGTCAACAGGCTTTATATTCATCACAAGATGTCTTCAAAAATAATAAATGTCTCTGTACCAGAGAGGCCCTGAAATCCTGGGAAGGATATAAGTTAATTTCTTAAGGACTAGTCTATTTTTGTTCCTTAATGGGTAATTCCTCATTTTTGGTAAAAGTAGAATTTAAAATTTTAAAGTTGGTTGTTTAATTAATTGGTATTTCCGCACCCGCCTCCATGTTAGCATTCATTTTTGTATGTACTGAACGCCTGAATTTGATGGTGTCGCTTCTTTTGGGTAGGATAAACTCCCTCTCAGAATGTGCTATCAGAAGTATCAAGTTATGGTTGTTAAGGAGGCCTTAGTGTGTAAATTATGTCCTGTCTTGAATATTTGCACCTTCATCTAAAGGGAGGAAAACAGTAAAAATAAAATCATTCCACTTCTAGCTCCTGATAGAGTAGAAAGTTTGACTTATTATTAAAATGAGGTTTGATGATCTTTCAGATCTACTCATCCCTAGCACACGGCCCTTCTGAAGCCACGGATTATGTACCGATGTCCATAAATATTCTTTTCTTTGACAAAATTCTCTTGTTTTTTTTATTCAGGTATGAAAAGTGAATCAATAAAATCTTACCATTCATCTTTCTATTTCTTTTAGTGTTAATACCATGTTGAAGGAAGTAGCCATAAGCAAGTGTTACAAGAAAATAGCGTATTATCAAAGTCCTCCTTAGATTCCCACTTCTGTCCTTGGAGGATGATAAGACCTGGGATATTCTTAACCATGTAAAAACAGATATCAAGATAAAAAAGCAAAACATCTCATTTACAGTCTCTGAACATGCATAAACCAGACTTTCCATTCCTAACCCACGTGATATCATATGTCTTTCAGATGGTGTCAGCAGAAAGGGTGGTTGAATATATGGAGCTTGAGAAAGAAGCACCCTGGGAATACGAGTATCGTCCGCCACTGGACTGGCCCCATGAAGGAGAGCTTGCCTTTGAGGACGTGAACTTCAGGCATACCTTAGATGGGCCTCTGGTATTGAAGGATCTGACAGAATGCACCGACTCAAAAGAAAAGGTTTGTTTACACCATTTGCCTCTTTAAAATCCAGCTAAAGATTTAGCAACATCTGCTGTTGGCTTCCTTGTCAGTGTATCAGGGAGACTCTGTTTCTCTGTGGATGTGGATTAGATCAGTGACATTGTTGGGAGTCTGTCCTAGAAACTAACCATGGACTGGGGATCTCAGCATTTCCTTCCCCGTGTCATGAGTTGTTCAAGGTGGTTAGTAGATTCTGGGCTCCTGAGCTGAACTTAACCTGACCTGGGATACTATATGTCGGGGGTCTGCAACCTCTGGGATCTAATACCTGATGATCTGAAGTGGATTTGAGATAATAATAATAGAAATAAATTGCACAATAGATGTAATGTGCTTGAATCATCCCAAAATCATCCCCTCCCACCCTCCTACCTCCAGTCTGTAGAAAAATCATCTTCCACAAAACAGGTCTCTGGTGCCAAAAAGACTGGGGACCACTGTGTATATGACACCTGATTACTCTTGCCGACTCTTGGAAGTCAGTCCTAGATCCCTGTCCCTAACCCTCAAATATCTCCTTCCTACCCATCTTTTTTCTTTGTATTTCTGAAATCTTCTCATCCTCTGTTATACCCTTCAGTTACAGCCTCCTCCTCTGTCCTTTGGTCTTTTCTGTAGACTTGTCCTCCACTCACCCACACTGAGCTGTCATCCCCCTGACCTCCCACCCACAAGCTGCTTCTTTCTTTAGCGCAGGTCTGGTCCTTACTGGCCTGGGCAAACTGCTTCTGGAACCCCAGTGCAATCCTAGGTCCACTCCAAATAGGGATGGTATGGCTAGCTTGGGGCCATCAGAGAAGAGTCTAGAATCATGACTCAGAGGTGAGGAACCAGAGTCCCCAGCTGGAGGTAGGGCCCAGAGACACGCTCAAAGTTGCTGAAAGCAAATTGAATGGAGCAGGGGAAGATCCTTGTGGGAGACAGCAGAGAGATCCTGCCAATGTCCATGTCTTTTGGTGATGTTCCTTCTACACTCAGTCGAGGCCCTTGCCTGGGACCAGGGCAGAGTTTTAAAAAAGACAATGAACTAGAACAGACAAGGTGATAGGAAGTTCCACCTACCTCTCCTGCCTTGAGTCCTAACATACACATACCCCCTATACTCAGGTCACATATAGATCCCCCCAAAGCACTGAATCCTCCCACTTCCAGGGTGCATGCTTACCCTATACCTCAGAGACCCTTCCCTTCTATCATCTGGATAGTGGATATCTCCTCAGTTTCTCAGTCAACATTAATGCATCTTCCTCTTTAAGCCCCTCTATGCTTCCACAGAATCTTATGTAATCTTTTAAGATAGCATATATGGTACATTTGTGTTCATAGCTGTTCATAGCTGCCAAAATTGGAAGCAACTGAAATGTTCATGTTGAAAGTGAGTGGATAAACAAAATGTATGATATCCTTAAAATGAAATATTATTCAGCCTTAAAAGAAGAAGACTCTGACCCATGGATGAACCCTGAGAACATCATGATATATGAAACAAGCCATATGTGAATACTGTATGATTCTACTTATATGAGGTTCCTACAGTGGTCAAATTCATGAAGACAGGAAGTAGGATGGTGGTCTCCAGGGATGGGGGAGGAGCAATAGGGAGTTGTGGTTTAATGGGTATAAAATTTCAGTTTTTAAAGGCAAAAAAATATTCTGGAAGTTGGCTACAAAACAATGTGAATGTACTTAACACTAAATCATCCACTTAAAATGGTTAAGCTGGTAAATTTTATATTATGTAAAATTTACCACATTTAAATAAAGGTAGCATCTATGGCATGCTTTATAATTTTGGGTCTGTATCTCGAAGAACTCTGGGGCTTCTTAAGATCAGGGAGCATCTGGTTGTCATCTTTGTTCCTCAGAAAGTGGCATTCTACAGGGCACACAGAGGGTGCTGGGGAACTTAACACAGGTGTGAGCAACCAGTAACCAAAACACACACACAAGACAACTTGTAAACAACTGATTACCTAGAATGTTAAATATTTAAATAACCACTCTATAACTCTCCACCACAGACCTATCTAGTGGACTATAACCATTATTTAATGACTGATACTCTTGAAACATGAAAGAATAAATAATCAACTCAATGTCCAAATGATTCCCAGGGAGCAGCTTCATGGCAAAAGCCAGCTCCCAATTATTTCCAGTTCCCTCGTAGGTCAGAAAAGAAGTGAGGCCTGCAGTCTAAGTGAGGTTAATGGAAAGACATTAATCTCAGCTCTTGATAAAATCCTGTCCCTGATAGCACCGTAGGCTTGTCAGTGTTTGTCAGTAGACAATGTGTCTGTCAGATTTCCCATTGTACAAAATTCTGTTAATTTGTACTAATCCTAAATTTCCTCAGAAGCCAAAAATATGAATTGTCATTATATGAAACTCTGTAGTACAACTTAGGAACATAGCAGACTTGTATTCTTCCATCTTAAATTTCCCAAATCATAGGATTACCTAAGATTCTAAAATGTTTGAGAGAAAATTAAACTTGCACAGTTTTAATAACTATGATAATGTGACTTTTGATCTGTGTCTTGGTCCACTCAGCGTCACTATTCGTTTCTTCTTCTTTTTTTTTTTTTTACCATTAGTTTCATTTCTGTGTTGGGAGATTACACCTGGGTAGTGTGTTCATGAAGCCATTTCACTTCACAGTTGTTAACCCCCAGTTTGCTGCTGCTGCTGCTAAATTGCTTCAGTCATGTCCGACTCTGTGCGACCCCATAGACGGCAGCCTGCCAGGCTCCCCCACCCCTGGGATTCTCCAGGCAAGAACACTGGAGTGGGTTGCCATCCTTCTCCAATGCATGAAAGTGAAAAGTGAAAGGTCGCTCAGTCCTGTCTGACTCTTAGCGACCCCATGAACTGTAGCCTACCAGGCTACTCCGTCCATGGGATTTTCCAGGCAAGAGTACCGGAGTGGGTTGCCATTGCCTTCTCCAAACCCCGTTTACACTCCTGCTTACTTGTCCCAGGCCCCATCACTCCAGGACACTGCTTTGGTGTGGAATTTGATTGGGAGAGGTAGCTGTGGGGGGTTGGGGGAAAGAGGGATGTGGGAGTGAGCCAGCCCAGCAGAAGTGGGGCTTTATTCTCTTTCCATTATGTCCTCTGTTGTTCTGATTCCTGGAAGTTAGAGTCAATATGAAAGTGTAGTAGGTACTATGCAGGTTTCTCAATCATGAAAGAAATAGTGAGCAAAAATAAAGAACCAGTATAAGGTAAATGAGGCTTCCCTGATGGCTCAGTTGTAAGAATCTTCCTGCATTGCAGGAGAGCCAGGTTCAATCCCTGGGTTGGGCAGATACCCTGGAGAAGGGAATAGTAATCCAGTCCAGTATTCTTGCCTGGAGAATTCCATAGACAGAGGAGTCTGATGGGCTACAGCCCATGATGTCACAAAGAGTTGGACACGGCTGAGAGACAAACACTTTCTTTCAATTTCATAAGGTAAATAGTACCCTAGGTTTCCTGGTTAGATTCTGAACATGAGGTGTATTTTTCATTTAGAAGATTTTGTGGTTGATTTGATCATTTTGGAGAGTCCTGGGCCATTTTAAAGCATTTTCCAGCTCTGGAGGTAGATTGAGTTCGGTTGTTTTTTGTTTGTTTCTTTGCTGAGAGCTATTTCCTAGATAATTTATTTTTACAGACACTTATTAGACTTCGCTCTAATGTGCCAAATATTATTTTCCTACCTTTTATCTTTGTTTACATATTATTTTCTCAGCAACCCTTCTCCTCACTCCTAGACTACCACCTTACATAGGTGGTTTCCTAATTCCTTGTGACTTGGACTGCGGTACAAGCCAGCACCTGCATCTCCTGGGAGCTTCTTAGAAATGCAGAGTCTCAGGCTCACCCAGACCTCTTGACTCAGCATTGCATTTGAATAAGACTTCCCAGTAAAGTCCTTTCTTTTCCATGGGCAGTTTTTGATGAGTGATCACCTGTGATTTCCAAGAAATGTCCTTTGACAATTTGAAGTGGAGCTAATGAATCATCTAAACCCCTGCTGTGGCTGAGCATGAAGCTCTAGAAAGCTCTGTGGCACTTACCTACAGATTTCCTTTTCTGTTCTGCAGATTACACCTTTACATTGTAATTTAATACCATGTGATTCCACTGCATTTATTTGCGTCTTTTCATTGAGTCTGTCTTCATCACGGGCAGTTTCCATCCTGCTGTCTGTCCTTTCCCACACCAGCCCCTACAGGGACTGGAGGGATTTCCCACAGGCTCAGCCCTGTCTGGACCTGAAGTCAGAGACAGCCTCACACAGCAGCATATGTGTGCCTCTTTCACCACCTGATGGTATCAGAAATGAGTCTTGCTGCCCCAAGCAGGGCCCAAGGTCTGTTTGGCCTGTTCCCCAGGCACTGTGTACCCCACTTAACTTCAGGTTTCTCTCCAAGCCCAACTATGGGTGCTGTTTGTTCCTGCTGACAGCTGGCCCACCTGACCTCAGGTACCATCTTTATTCAGTGATGTCAGATCTTGTCCCACCCACCACATTATAGGCACCCGTATTGACATTATACTTTAACTCTCTGGCTGTAGGATCCCTGTATTAGGCTTGCAAATACACCTCTACCCACTTTCTCTCATCCAGTTAGACAGAAGGACATGATAAGGCTTTAGGCCATCCAGTTGATAAGGAGACCATAGCAGATGGAAAAGGGTCTGGCAGACGTGGATTTGAGTCCCACGCTGTAACTAATGGGCTCTGTTATTTCAGGCAGACTAATTCACCTTATAAGCCTCAATCTTTTCTTTTGGAAAATGGAGGTGATAGGACCTTACCTCTAGGGTAGTTGTACACCTTAAAGAAGATAAAAACCTGTGTAACAGCCAGCATGGAGACCAGCACACAGTGAATGCTTAGACAAAGATAGTTCTCATTTTCATAGGATGTAAAATGACCTTAACCACTTACACTGTGTAAAATTTTGTATGTTCTGTGAAAATGAAGGGTTGGCCATTGCAATTATATTTATAGCTGTAGGATCTATCTACTGTATCTGTCTCTCTGTTCAGGTTTTCATATACCTAGAGAATATAATAATAGATCTTTCATACATTTCTCCACCCTCAGTTAAAAATTTCAGCCCCCTGTGAAAACCTCTTTTACAAAGGACACCACAGATGATACAAATAATATAAAAGAAAATCCAATACAGATCCTGTTGACAATGCACACAGTTTGACTTTGATAGACAAGAAAATGACTCTATTAGCTTTGTAAGATAGAAGGTGGTCATGATTTTTTTTTTTTAAGGTGGTCATGATTTTTATAGAAGTTTGGAAAAAGACATAGGTTTGGGAGAAGTCTACATGAGGAGACAAGTAGAGCATTTTCAAAGAATTAGCCATGTGAGACAGACTTAGTGATGTGTGTTTAGGGTTTCAGCAGGTGAAAATGCATGTGGAAGTCCTTCTGGGAGATGGAATCAGCTTAAACAAAAGCATGCTGCTCTGATTCAGTGAATGAAGAACTAGGCACCTTCAGTGCATTCGGAGAAATGAACTCCCAAGTGTATAAGATATTTTCATGTTCAGCCCTCAGAACTACTGGATGACCCCAAGGAAGCTGACTTGTGAAGATGAAGGATGGAGAGCTTAGTGGGGATGGTTTTGTAGAAGAGATGTCCCAGGGTAGAGTGACAGGCACAGAGCTGGCCTTTGGAAGTTTAATCTGAGAAGTGAGTGCACATGGACCCAAGTTGGCAGATGTGGGAGGCAGGGAGACAGGAGCTGTTGTGCCTCCAACAAGATGTCCTGGGAAAGTGATTTCCCTTTTTTGAAACAAACTGATGCTGATTGAAACGAAGCTATAAGACCCAGGTTTGTGATGTGCTGGGAAACGAGTGGGAACAGAAATTGGTATGGTACTTCTGGAGGGTAATTTGGCAGTAATGAAGAATATCCTTTAAAAATGCCCATACCTGTTTCTCAGCAATTTCACGTCTAAGAATTTATCTTAAGGGAATAAGGAAGATTGCTTGTAAAGATTTCACTTCAGGGATATTTAACACATAGTTATATATAATAGCAAAATATTAGAGACTGCCTAAATGTCCACCAAGAGGAGTTTGATAAATAAATGATCATAAGTACTATAATATTATATGGCCATTAAAATAAGTATTTTTTATGAAATACCTATTGAAAACAGATTGTAGTAATATGTTCATATTAATACCATTTTGTTTAAACAAGCTTGTATCTTTAACACACACACATACAGAGCCAGAAAAAAAGATACATCAACATCTTAGGGATGATTTTAATAGAGTCTGTGGTGATGACAGATGAAAAACATGTATTTGCTTTTCAGATTCATTTGCACTGATTATGATTAAGAAAAAGGTTTGCTTTGTTTTTTAAAACTTGATATAGCCTGTCACTAAGGTGATGACTTTGGGCCTTAAAATGAGAAACTGAGCCATGAAACATTGCAGAAGTAGAGTCTTCAGGACTTGGCACTATGCTGGACTCAGGAAAGTAAGGTGGGCACTTGAGCCTGGAAAAGAAGTAATGAGAGTAAAGTGGGGGAGTCAGAGGAAGGGGCTTTTTGTGTGGGGCATTGGGTATTGAGTTTGATGTACAAAAAAAGACACAGCTACAAATGTCTTGTCAAGTTGGTGCATTTGTCAGACCAGCTTTGGCCTATTTGGAAAAACCAAAAGGGCAGCTGCAAAGCAGCTAAAATAAGACTATCTTCAAGTGTCTTTGGTATTAGGAATGTAAAACTACTGATATTGGTAATACTCTCCATGAGCAATTGGTAAAAGCCTTTGGTGACCTGGGAAAGACTTCCAGACTATAGTTTAGCTGACTGAATGGTAGAAATAGCTAAAGCAGGATATTCTTTGAGTTACTTCTTTCTTATTCTCCTCACTGGAGTTTGGAGCTCACAGACATTCTCACAGACATAGGCCTTGTCTATGTTCTGATGTCTTTTGATCTACACATGAGAACACCCAGAAATACAGGCATACCTGGTTTTACTGTGCTTCACAGATAGTGCAATTTTTTTTTTTTGGCAAATTGAACATTTGTGGCAACTCTGAGTCAAGCACATCCATCAACACTATTTTTCCTATAGCATTTGCTCATTTTATATCTCTTTGTTGCATTTTTGTAATTCTCAATATTTCAAACTTTTTCATAATTATTATATTTTTTATGACTTGTGATCAGTGATCTTTGATGTTACTACTACAAGTTTTTTGAAAGCTCAGATAATGGTTAGCATTTTTAGAAATAAAGTATTTTTTAATTAAGATATGTACACTGTTCTTTTAAGACATAATGCAATTGCACATATAACAGATTATAATGTTGCATAAGCATGATTTTTATATGCATGGGGAAACCAAAAATGTCATGTGAGTTGCTTTATTGTGATACTTAGTTAATTGCAGTCATCTAAAATTGAACCTGCAATATTGCCCAGGTCAGCCTGTACCCAAACACATGAGCTGTGTATACATGTACTAGAGCCTGCCTACATGCAGAAAATGGCCCATCTGTATTATATAAGTTAGAACTTATTATAAAGTAGAAGGTGGCTTCAAAGATAAATCAACTAAAGCTACTTTTCTTACATGTAATCTCTATAAACTTTTTTTTTCAAGCTTTTCTTTTTTTTTCATTTATTTTTATTAGTTGGAGGCCAATTACTTTACAATATTGTAGTGGTTTTTGTCATACATTGACACGAATCAGCCATGGATTTACATGTATTCCCCATCCCTATCCCGCCTCCCATCTCCACCCGATCCCTCCAGGTCTTCCCAGTGCACCAGGTCCGAGCACTTGTCTCATGCATCCAACCTGGGCTGGTGATCTGTTTCACCCTAGATAATATACATGTTTCAATGCTAGCATTTATTGCTTGTAGACTTTTGGATAGCAGCCATCCTGACTGGCGTGTAATGGTACCTCATTGTGGTTTTGATTTGCATTTCTCTGATAATATAGAAACTCTTTTTTGAACTACAATTATTGATTTTACAGATTAAGCTTTGGAAACTTGGAAATATTCAAATGAGAAAGTATGTAAAGTTCATAGCATATAATCAGTGCTCAGAAAGGTTTAGTTCTTCTCTGCTTAAAGCTGTGACTTTTAAAAAATTTATTGACTGAATTAATTTATAAATGATTGAAATTATGTCTCATACCCCTCATCAACTCCATAGTCCTTAATAGAGATGAAATCATCATTGGGGTAGCTCCCATCAGAGAATTTGCAGTTGGATAAGCTCATTGGTTAGGGGAAAAATGCTATTTTCTACATACGTGTTTAAATGCACACAGCTAAAAGTTAGCTAAAAGTTAGTTTTTACAGTACCGTTTCATTCCTGACCAGCATTTTACTTGCATTATACTTATTCTTTGATCTTACTGTTAAAGTACTTAAATTTTCTCTGCTTTGGTTTTAATAACTAGACTGACACTTGACATGTATCTTTCCCAAGGTACAATTATAACTGTTAACTGGTTAGTAAAATATCTTTTGAATAGCTCAGATGAAAGGTCCCGTATAAATAGCAAATGTTGTTTGTGTTGTTGTTGACTCATCACATGTATTTTGCCTATTGGCTACTGCCTTTTGAAACACTGAGACCTGCAGTTTACAATTTTAAGATGTTTCCTATCTAGATAGAGCATAATTAAGATATTTAACATCAGGAAGTGATTTGATTTCTCTAAAAAGAATAATTCCCCTTAAATAATAAATCCCTGAAAAAATGATTGCTTGTTCATATATAACTCTTCTGACTTGACTTGTTGACATCTCTGTAAAATTGCCACATCATTCTCAGACTTCTTATGGATCTCTTAGGAGACTGCTGTCTTTTCATTGCTAGTAGATATTAATAGATTCTGTTTTTTTAACACTTTCTGGGGACTTTCTGGGGGTTTCAACTAAGGAACTTTGTCAATATCTGATATTTTTGGTTCTCACAGTGTTGCGGGTGCTTCTGGTATCTAGTGGGTAGAATCCATGGTTATTGCTAAAACTCCTATGATATATAGGACAGGCTCCCAACCTCTCAACAATGAATAATCTGGCCCACAACATCTACAGTGCCATGGTTGAAATACTAATAGACTACTCTTTATGTAGAACTTTTAAAGTTCATCTTCAACAACCAAGGTTTCCCCCAGTTTTGTTTTATATTGTTAATTCTTAAACCTCCTGGATCTCTTTACAGACGGGCATTGTGGGAAGAACTGGAGCTGGAAAAAGTTCCCTCGTCGCTGCGCTTTTTAGATTGTCAGAACCCAGAGGTGGCATTTGGATTGATAATATCTCAATAACCAGTATTGGACTTCACCATTTAAGGAAGAAAATGTCAGTTGTACCTCAGGTATGCATGTCAGAGCATTGTCACGTGTTCTTTTTATAAGGCACCTTCATTAACTTGCTTTTAATTTGATTAATTTTTTTCAAAGTACAAGAAAGATTTGATCCTTTCCCCTCCAAGAGAGCATATTTTTAGCAGCAGATGTTTTCAATAGATTCCAGGGTTTGTTTGTTCTTTTGTTTTGTGTGCATGTGATTTAATAACTTACCAAGATAGACTTCTGGACTCAGACTTCTTAGGTGTTACAGTTTTATCTGCTGATAACCATGTAATATGGAGACCAAAATGATAAATGGTTGGTTTAGCATTGAAGAGGTTCCTATATGGAAACATGAATTTTAAGTGTCTTAAAGATGAAATTTTGCTGTGGGAAATAAAGATGATTATCTCCCTGGAGTGCTTTCTTTTTTTTTTTTTTTTTTGTAATTCTTGAGTTTTTTTCTTAATAGCCTTCTTTTGTTTAGAAATTTCCTTTGTATCTAGAGGTTATTTTCTTTTTTTTTTTTCTTTTTTTTTTCATTTATTTTTATTAGTAGGAGGCTAATTACTTTACATCATTACAGTAGTTTTTGTCATACATTGAAATGAGTTAGCCATGGATTTACATGTATTCCCCATCCCGGTCCCCCCTCCCACCTCCCTCTCCACCCTGGAGTGCTTTCTGTGAAACTGTGAGACTTTGAGAATTACAAGGTGTATAGACTTTTGGGGGAAACTTTTAGAATTTAACCCTTAAATGATTTTAACCAGGGAGGCAGTACAGAATAGTAAGAAAAAGCACAAGCTATGAATCCCATCACTGTGCACCTCAGTTTTTAAGTTTTAATTATACCCATCTCAGGAATAACCCAATGAGACTAGTTAGCAGAAATAAATGGATGTGTCTGTAAAGTTCTTTCATATCCTTGGATAAAAGGATCTAGAAATCTGTGTTGTGTTATTTTTAATGTTTCTTAATACTTAAAGGGCTTCCTTGGTGGCTCACGGGGTTAAAGCATCTGCCTGTAATGTGGGAGACCTGGGTTCAATCCCTGGGTTGGGAAGATCCACTGGAGAAGGAAATGGCAACCCACTCCAGTATTCTTGCCTGGAAAACCCCATGGACGAAGAAGCCTGGTGAGTTACAGTCAATGGGGTCGCAAAGAGTCAGACACAACTGAACGAAGGCTACAGTCCATGGGGTCACAAGAGTTGGACATGACTTAGCGACTAAACCACCACCACCAATAATAAAAGAGTGCTTTTGTACATTAAAAAAAAAAACAACAACTCTATAAATAAAGAAATAACATTAGATGATTCTTGGCTCTGCTGGTAATGTTTGGAAGCACATCTAAGTAAAGACTAAATATCCATTGACATCACACAGAACCTTAATTATTCTACTTTTTATGCATTTGTCTCCAAGTCACAATGTGGGTTGATAAAGAGAGATAATCTGGAGAAACTGGGCAGGATGTAAAGAGTTCCAGGAAATCATTCAAGAGGCAGCTAGGGCTAGAAGGTTTAAGAGTGTAGACCTAGTGTTAACATGACTCACATTTTTATTCCTGCTCTGCTTCATATGACTGTTGGGCCTCGATGAGGTCAGTCATCTTCATGCTTCAGTATCCTCAACCTTCTACCAGGTCTAGGAGTTACTGACTCAGATTTGTTGTAAAGGTGTAACTGGGTGAAAAAATGTATATGCTCATGGCTGCTTCTGGGAACCTTCAGTCAATAAGAATTATTATTATTATTCTTAAGGATCTAGACACTAACCTTTTAGGTTTTATTTATACTTAAGTAAAAAGGGTAACACGTTCTGGACCAATTGTGTTCTTTAATTTCTGTTTCTGTGGTTCTTGGTGATTTTTTATGCTAATTGCTTATAATATAAAAATTATTTACATAAATTTAAAGAGTGAAGCAAAAATAAAAACACAGTAGGAGTTTGGGGGAAAAACAATACAGATATCTAATGTTTTCTACCAAGAACTAGAAGAAGAATGTTTATCCTTTCATTTCTGGCTCACCTCCCACCAGGTTTTTCCTGACCACTGTCCTATACCCCAACTCTTATTTTCCAGGTCCCCAACAAAAACCTCTGGCATTTTCCTCAGCCCTCTCCACATCCTCCACTATTTTCTTCCTCTCCTTGAGGACAGACAGTGTATCTCCCATTTCTTTTGCTTTAGTGATTATTATGGTCCCTAACAAGGGGTACTAATACTTAGTTACATAAGTATTACTAATGATTTTCAACATCAGACGGTAAAGAGTCTGCCTGCAATGCAGGAGACCCAGATTCGATCCCTTGTGACCTGCCTTCCAGAAGACATTTAAATGGCTGACATGAGATTATGTATGAGAGTCTCTCCTGAAACTGAGAAAGATATATATTTCCAGAGTAATTTATTATGTGGCTTCTCCCAAAGCAGATGAATGGTGGGGGAGGGGGGTCTGTTTAAATTAAAATAATTTTAATTGTGACAAAGACCACAATGGGTTTCAGGTTATCTTGACCTCGAAGTTAATAATGGTGTTCTGTGAGGCAGGTCATCCTGACGCACAGGTGAGAGAACACGGGGACCAGCTGGTGCAGGATCCGAGGAGATCTCTCCATGGACAGAGGAGCCGCAGGCCCCAGGAGCTGACATTCTCTTTGCATGTCTGGGGATTTCCATTCACACCTGTGGAGAGAGTCCCCATCTCAGGCTGTTTTACCAATGCAGAAAATATCCCAGTTCATTCTTCACTGCCAATGTGAAAAAATTTAATCTTGCTTTGGGATATAAACCTTAATTAATCATTCTGTTGATATTTTCCAGTATTACTTTAGGATTGACAATTAATCTATCCAGTTCTCTTGATGTAAAATTCCTCAAATAATTATATCCTTATTTTTTGTTTGAGCAGATATTACCAGGAAGGCATTTTTAAAAAGTCAAATCTTTCTCTTTTTTCTTCAATTTCTTCTTAAGACAACTTGACACTTTCTTTCATTTTTGGTCAAACATCTAGAAGATATTTTGGAGCACACTTTGGACAGTGGGAGATTAAAGATACTGTTTTGTAAAAAAGCATTTGAAACCTTAATAATGATTATAGTGAATTTTTCTTTTTTGTATATAAATTCTGTAAGCCTTCACGCAAAATGAAAAGATGTTAATGTGATAACATTCACTGTTTTGGGGCATTTAGGAAGCTGTTTTATTCACTGGAACCATGAGGAAAAATCTGGATCCCTTTGATGAGCATACAAATGAGGAATTGTGGAATGCCTTAGAAGAGGTAATTTATTAAATTTAATTAACTTGTTAGCATCAGTATATATATGTGTACATTTACAGCATTGCACATAATTAAGGGGAACTTATTTAACTGACTTTGTTTACTTTCTAGGAAAACATTAATGACATGGGTGCATGTGTAAATTAAAATGTGCAAAAACCACTACAATATTGTAAAGTAATTAGCCTCCAACTAATAAAAATTTTTTTAAAAAAGAGAAAAAAATGTGTATGTTAATGGTGATGAAAACCAATAAGATAATGCCTTACACTTTCTTTTTAGCATTTTCTCTAGAACACAGGGGGCTTCCCAGGTGGCCCAGTGGTAAAGAATCTACCTGCCAATGCAGGAGACGCAGATTCAGTCCTTGGGTCAGGAAGATCCCATGGAGTAGGAAATGGCAGCTCACTCCAGTATTCTTACCTGGAGAATCCCATGAAAGGGGAGTCTGTTGGGCCATACTCCATAGGATCTCAAAGAGTTAATAGAACACAAAGTAGCTAGGTACATTATATTGTCCTTAATAGAGCACTAAACTAGAAGTTATAATTATGGTTTCAAGTTCTACTACATGAACTAATGAATTAGTTACCTTAATTACCCTGCAACATTCATTTTATTCCTTGGATCTTACCTACTAAATGGAGACAATAGTAGTTTTGCATTATAAACCAAGTGACATCATACCAATAAAATGCTATGAAGTTTCATCAGAAAGTGTTTATAAAGGTAAGTTATATAGTTGTTTATAGAAATTATGTCCTTTTAATGTTACAGCATGAATGCAGGTAAGAGACTCTGGAGCTTTTGCTCAGTTTTTATATGGATAGGTTCATTTCTAAAGGATTTTCTGTTATTTTTTTCTCATTTCCATTTGGCCCACTTCTTTGAATTTCCTCACCCTTGTACACAAGCAATGTTTACTGTTAAGTTGCTGTTGATTTGTATATTTTGATGCAAATTATTTTTATATTATTTTATCCTACTTTTGCAAATTGATTCTACTGATGGTAGAAATTATATCTAGGCTTCTAAACCATAGACAGACTTCTAATTTCTCACAGGACCTAGCTCAGTCTTTAGATTTTAAAAAGTTGTTACTCAGTGGCTAAGTTTTGTCCAACTCTTTGTGACCACACAGACTGTAGCACGCTAGGCTCCACTGTCCTCCATGTCTCCCAGAGTTTGCTCAGATTCATGTCCATTGAGTTGGTGATGCCATTACTTCTTATCCTCTGTCATCCCCTTCTCCTTTTACCTTCAATCTTTCCCAGAATCAGGGCTTTTCCAATGAGTTGTCTTTTCACATCAAGTGGCCAGAGTAGTGTAGTGAAGCTTCATCTTTAGCAACAATACTTCCAGTGAATTTTCAGGGTTGATTTCCTCTAGTATTGACTGGTTTGATCTCCTTGTTGTCCAAGGGACTTTCAAGACTCTTCTCCAGCACCACAATTAGAAAGCATCAATTCTTTGGTGCTCAGCCACCTTTATGGTCCAACTCTCACATCCATATATGACTACTGGAAAAACCATAGCTTTGTTGGTAAAGTGATGCCTCTCCTTTTTTAATGTGCTATCTAGATTTGTCATAGCTTTCCTTCCAAGGAGAAAGTGTCTTTGAATTTCATCACTTCAGTCACCATCCATAGTGTCTGCTTCGGCTTTTTTACTCTTGTACTTGCCATGAAGTGATAGGACCAGATGCCATGATCTTAGTTTTCTGAATGTTGAGATTTAAACCATCTTTTTCACTCTCCTCTTTCACCCTCATCAAGAGGCTCATTAGTTTCTCTTAAGTTTCTGCCATGATAGTGGTATCATCTGGGTATTAAGGTTATTGATATTTTTGCCAAAAATCTTGATTCTAGCTTATGATTCAACCAGCCCAACATTTTGCACAATGTACTCTGTGTGTAAGGTAAATAAAAAGAGTGACAATATACAGCCTTGTTGTACTCCTTTCCTAATACTGAACTAGTCAGTTGTTCTATGTGAGGTTCTGTTGCTTCTTGTCTTGCATACAGGTTTCTCAGGAGACAGGTAAGGTGGTCCTGTACTACCATCTCTTTAAGAATTTTCCATAGTTTGTTGCAGCACTTAATAAATGTGTATTAAATGTCTGATTTATCTCTTCATTTCAGAAAAGTGTGGCTTATTTCTTTAAAAACATATTTTAAATACAAAGCCAAGTGACTGTCCATGTCCATGTTGTTGTTTGAATTCATGTTTGTTATTTAACGTCGCTCTTCCAGAGATAACTCTGAAATCTATAATATATAGATGAGCTTTGACTGTGAGCAAGTAGATTTGGAAGCCTGACAATTTCTTGCCAATATTTCTGGTCTCTGAAGGACATCAACATTGAGTCTTTATATACCGACTTTGCTTTTCAGAAACTGTAAGGATTTTATTTTCCTAAATTGGGACAATTGCTTCACTTTCTCCGACTTGATAAGCAGTGGACCTCTGATTTCATTTAAGTTTGTGAGTCTTTCTACAGTTAAATTCTAGAATAGAAATGAGGAGTGTGGCTAATAATCAAATATAGAGAAAAATAGGATGACCCACTGGTCTTGAAACCACAGGACATATTTAACGGTGAAATTGTGATATCTTAAAAAAAAATGAAAATACTGTTAAACTATTTTTCTGTTTGTTTTCCAGCTTGAGATCTCTCTTCACAGATTCTCAAGTACTAAAGTTACTATAGAATTTTAGGACACATTGTTCCGTGGAAAGAGAGTAACTGTTAATTGGGAAACAAATCCTATCAAATGCTATCTTAGAACTTGGCCCAAATGTAATTCCTCTGTTCAGTTCAATTCAGTTCAGGCCGCTCAGTCTTTGCAACCCCATGAACTCAGTATGTCAGGCTTCCCCATCCATCACCAAATCCTGGAGCCTACTCAAACTGAAGTCCATTGCCTCAGTGATGCCATCCAGTCATCCCATCCTCTGTCTTCCACTTCTCCCACCTTCATTTTTTCCCAGCATCAGGGTCTTTTGAAATGAGTTGGTTCCTTGCATCAGGTGGCCAAAGTATTGGGGTTTCAGCTTCAGCATCAGTCCTTCCAATGAATATTTAGGACTGATTTCCTTTAGGATGGGCTGGTTGGATTTCCTTGCAGTCCAAGGGACTCTCAAGAGTCTTCTCCAACACCGCAGTTCAAAAGTATCAATTCTTCAGTGCTCAGCTTTCTTTATGGTCCACTCTCACATCCATACATGACTACTGGAAAAACCATAGCTTTGACTAGATGGACCTTTGTTGGCAAAGTAATATCTCTGCTTTTTAGTATGATGTCTAAGTTTGTGATAGCTTTTCTTCCAGGGAGCAAGCGTCTTTTAATTTCATGACTGCAGTCACGATCTGCAGTGATTTTGGAGCCCCAGAAAATAAAGTCTCTCACTGTTTCCATTGTTTCCCCATCTATTGACCATTAAGTAATGGGACCAGATGCCATGATCTTTGTTTTTTGAATGTTGAATTTTAAGCTAGCTTTTCCACTCTCCTCTTTCAGTTTCATCCAAACCCTCTTTAATTCTTCATTTTCTGTCATAGGGTGGTGTCATCTGCATATCTGAGGTTATTGATATTTCTCCTGGCAATCTTGATTCCAGCCTGTGCTTCATCCAGCCTGGCATTTTGCATGATATATTCTGCATATAAGTTAAATAAACAGGGTGACAATATGCAGCCTTTACTTACTCCCATCCCAATTTGGAATGAGTCTGTGGTTCCATGTCTGATTCTGTTGCTTCTTGACCTGCACGCAGATTTCTCAGAAGGCAGGTCAGGTGGTCTAGCATTCCCATCTCTTTAAAAATTTTTCATGGTTTGTTGTGATCCACACAGTCATAGGCTTTGGCACAGTCAATAAAGCAGAAGTAGATGTTTTTCTGGAACTCTCTTGCTTTTTCAATGATCCAATGGATGTTGGCAATTTGATCTCTGGTTCCTCTGTCTTTTGTAAATCCATCTTGAACATCTGGGAGTTCACGGTTCATGTATTGTTGAAGCCTCTCTTGGAAAATTTTGAGCATTTCTTTGCTGGCATGTGAGATGAGTGCTATTGTGTGGTAGTTTGAACATTCTTTGGCATTGCCTTTCTTTGGGATTGGAATGAAAACTGACCTTTTCCAGTCCTGTGGCCACTGCTGAGTTTTCCAAATTTGCTGGCATATTGAGTCTAGCACTTTCACAGCATCATCTTTTAGGATTTGAAATAGCTCAGCTGGAATCCCATCACTCCACTAGCTTTGTTTGTAGTGATGCTTCCTAAGGCCCACTTGGCTTCACATTCCAGGATGTCTGGCTCTGAGGTGACTGATCACACCATCGTGATTATCTGGGTCGTGAAGATCTTTTTTGTATAGTTCTTCTGTGTATTCTTGCCACCTCTTCTTAATATCTTCTGCTTCTCTTAGGTCCATATCATTTCTGTCCTTTACTGAGCCCATCTTTGCATGAAATGTACCCTTGGTATCTCTGATTTTCTTTAAGAGATCTCTAGTCTTTCCCATTCTATTGTTATCCTCTATTTCTTTGCACTGATCACAGAGGAAGGCTTTCTTATCTTTCCTTGCTATTCTTTGGAACTCTGCATTCAAATGGGTATATCTTTCATTTTCTCCTTTGCCTCCTCTTCTTTTCTCAGCTGTTTGTAAGGCCTCCTCAGACAACAATTTTGCCTTTTTGCATTTCCTTTTCTTGAGGATGGTCTTGATCACTGCCTCCTGTACAATGTCACGAACCTCTGTCTATTGCTCTTCAGGCACTCTGTCTATCAGATCTAATCCCTTGAATGTATTTGTCACTTCAACTGTGTAATCATAAGAGATTTTATTTAGGTCATACCTGAATGGTCTAGTGGGTTTCCCTACTTTCTTCAATTTAAGTCTTAATTTTGCAATAAGAAGTTCATGGTCTGAGCCCCACTCACCTCCCAGTCTTTGTTTTTGCTGACTATATAGAGAGTTGTAACTCCTGGTTTTTATTTCCTATTGCCTCTACTATCCTTTTTTCCCATCCTAGTACTTAATTATAACTTGATTATATGATTACACTACAGAGGGACTTCATATTTGTATTATTCTCATAACCATCCCTGATTCATAAAAGAAGACAGAGTCAGAGAACAGTATTTTCTGAAAATATATTTCCCTTCACAACCTTTATTCCTCATGAAGCAAATATGGACTTGAAGGAAAGTTTAAAAAAAGAACAAAAACAGATTAGCAATGAGAGTTCATCCAAGTCAGGGGCAAGTATGAGATTATTTCTTCAAAATTAGGAAGTCAGTCTTAAAACCAACAACTTGCACCACAATCCAGATCTTATCCTTTAGATTCTATGTACCTTTCATACTAATACTATATATCAATACCATATTTAATCTTAATGCTGGATTCTCGTTTTTGTGATTGAACTCCATCAGGAGCACAGTTCAGGATCACATGCATAGAAGTGCTCTAGCATTTAGGATACCATGGAAACATTGCCCAATCACCCTTGGGCAATGTTTTGTTATTTGATGGTGTAATTCTGTGTCTCTGCTTATTGGCCTTCACTCATCAATCTGTTGGTCTCTTAATTTGAAGTGCATTTATTCTTTGTTGTTTAAGTATAACCCGAGTTTGGTCCTTGTTCTATAATATTTCTGCAAAAATATTCATTGAACTGATCCCTGTCATCAATGTAACTTCAGCTTATCTTTGGTAGTTAAAAATTTAAATTTCTTTTTTTCACAATTTTAGGGACATGATTTAAATACTACCTATACCCATAGTCTTGGGGGAAATAGATGTTATGTTGTGTCCTGGTTTTCATGAGTTTTCATTCACTGAAAGACATTTTTGACATTGAAGAAAATACACTTCACTGGCTCAGTATTGATGTGATTAAACTTGGGAAAGAACCATCACAAGAATAGGTTTTAGGATTACTAATGTATGAGGTACAGTTTACCAGTGTTTGAATTCACATTTGTTTCCAACTTTTAGACCTTATAAAATGGTAAAGTGCTGATAAGATTATATCTTTAGAGAACCACACTTTCTATCATATATATATTTTTAAATTTCCCATTAGTGTACCAACTCATATGCAAAATTGTACTTTGGGAAACTTGACTCAACCATAAAGATTACTTTAATATTTCTGTTTAAACCACATTGGGAGAAATAGCTTCCTTTTTTGAGATACTTCCTTAACTAGTACCTAGGTGGGGTTTCTGGTAGGTGGTAGGTGGCAGGGATGGGAGACACAGAGATCTTTTTGTCTTGAACTGATGCTACAGTTTTTCTCAGTGAATGCTCATTGAAAGGTGCTCTCCTCATCACATGACTGTATGTGTAAGATATGTAAGAAGTCCTGAGGATGTCAAAGCTCTAATGTCTAAGAGACTTGTCTGCTTAAGTAGCAATTTATTTAGAAAAATGCTGTTCTTTCTATATCCACAGGTACGACTCAAAGAAATCATTGAAAGTCTTCCTGGTAAGATGGATACTGAATTAGTAGAATCAGGATCAAACTTGAGTGTTGGACAAAGACAACTGCTGTGCCTTGCCAGGGGTATTCTCAGAAAAAATCAGATACTGATTATTGACAATGCCACATCACATGTGGATCCAAGGTATGGAACTGAGGTCCTTGAAACCTGGTATCTGAATTTTAAATATGGTAAATGGAAAACATTTAGTGGTGATATAGTTTCAAGAAATTTTGAGGGAAGATTATTTTCCATTGTTTTAAGAAAACTCATCAACTTCTGTTGACTTTTTAAACTTAATTTTTGGAATAAGTCTTTGTCTTAAAGTATTGATTTTAAAAAGCATCATAAAAATATCATAGGGTATTTTCAAACCTCAAGACCACTTTTCCAGTCTAAACTGAACTAAATCAACTTCCTTGATTCCAGAACTGATGAGTTAATACAAAAAAACATTCGTGAGAAATTTTCCCAGTGCACTGTGCTGACCATCACCCACAGGTTGAGCACCATTATTGACAGCGAATGGATGATGGTAAGACCCTCACCTCTGGAATTTGAGCTGCTTCTAGTCATGTTCAGTTTTTCAACTCATCTTTCCTTGTAAAACTTGATAGGAGCCTTCAATAATTTAATTTTCTCTTAGTTCCTCCTCTCATTCTTGACAATAACTCAAGTACGTAAGTATACTTTCAGAATGTGCTATTAAATAATATATCCAGTATAATTCATATATCCAGTAATGCCATATTCTCATGTTAAAACTTTACTTGAATTATTATTTTTAAAGAGTGTAGAAAGAAAGGTAGATTAGGGGCTGAAATACTGTAGATAAACAACTAGCAGGTCCCTGACACAGTAGATCTGGACACTGCACACATGGCAGGCTCCAAGTTTTGGTCTCTGGTATTGGTAAAATAATCTGCCTGCCAATGCAGAAGTAACAGGAAAGGCAGACTCGATCCCTAGGTTGGGAAGACCCCCTGGAGAAGGAAATGGCAACCCATTTCAGTATTCTTACCAGGGGAATCCCATGGACAGAGGAGCCTGGTGGACCATAGTCCATGGGGTTGCAAAGAGTCAGACACAACTGAGCACACACAAACACATCTGTCTAGTATCTTCCTTCCAGGTTTGATTGGCTTTTTCTTCCTTAATAATTTGATATTTCCTTCCTTAGCTTTATTTCCTTCCTTTCTCCCTCTGTTCCTTTTCCTTATTCTCATTTTCATCTCTTTCTTTGTTCTTTCCCTGCTGAGTTCCAATAAATGTTAGGGTGTGGCTTCTAAAATAATAAGGAGACTATCTGTCAAAGGAAGAACAATCTTTGGCTGCATATAATCTCAAAGGAATGCAGGGGATTTTAAGATTAACACCCTAGCCTGTGACAGTAATCTGATTTCACTCATGTGGATGATAACCATAGTATCCACTGATGCTGCTTGGTAATGAAATAAGAAGGCCTGCATATGTGTAAGAAGCAACAGACGGAGTTAGCCAGTGATTTTGTTGGTCCATACAAAATAGGTAATAATCCAGAAATAAGTGATCAGTAATCCCCAAACTTCCTTATGCCCAGTGACAATAGGACTTTTGACTTCTTGGGAAGTTTCTGGGATACCACCGCCCACACTACCATTGTCAGATGGGATATCAGTGGGGACATTGAGTAGATAGCAGACTGTTACCTTTGAGGCAGTGCCTATAGTCTCACTCCTTGAACTGGACATGCACAGGAGTGAGTTCCGGGGGGGCAGACAACAGCAGCAGGGCATCTGAAACCAAGGGATGCTCTAGGCTTTAGTCAGTGTGTCCAGTCACCCAGACTAGAACATCACAGTAGGAAGCAGGCCCCACCTACAGATTTTCATGAGGGACAGGGTGACATTCCAAGATTGCAGGACAGTGACTCTTCAATTCTAGAAATGTTATTTAGCATTGGCTTTGCTGTTATTATCAAAATATATTCATTTGTTAATTCTTTACTTACCCATATCTCCTGGTATATTTCAATAACCTCAATTTTTTTTCTCTTGGTCAGTGTCTTAGAACAAATCTTTAATAAGGTTTTACAAAACCGTTTACAACTCACCTCCCCACATTTCTAGCTTTGTCCCACTCTGTTCTCCCTCTTTCCTTTATAGCTAAAATCACATTGATGATCTTTCAGTTCTCCAGGTACAGTGTTTACTCTCTTATAGTTGTGCCCTCTCTGAACTGTTGTGGCTGAGACTAAGGTGATGGAAGTAGAAATGGTGAAGTGGTTGGGATAGAGGGATTTATGATAAATAACGAAGTGAAGCCAAGCAGACTGTGTGATGGGTTGAACGTGGGATCTAAGGGCAGAGAGGGGAATCAATGCTGGTGTCTGGATTGGGTTCTGAGCATCTGGGTGAATTGGGAAGATAGAGGGAGAAGGGAAATGCAAGGGTTCACTTTGGAGCCTGTCACCTTCATAATGATTGATCTTGTTTTCCATGGTAGACGATGTTCTAGGGAGATTCTGCCAGGAGATGTGAATTTAGTCACTTGTTTACATCTTGGTCTGAGCTGGTTGCAGTTGCTAACTCCTCTGGTAGGAATGGTAGGATTAAACCTCAGGAGACCCAAGAGATATGCATCTCCCAACTTCAAAGTTGTGGGATTTCTCTGTGCATTCCATGCACCCCAGGTGTAAAATTTGTGTTTCCTTCTAGTGCTTCTGATTACTGGTTGGCTTTCAATTCAGCGAAAACACCATAAATAAAGTTCTTTCTCAAATATTTGATTTTTTAAAAAATTTTATTAGAGTATAGTTGAATTACAGTGTTGTGTTACTATCAGGTGTATAGCAAAGTGAATCAGTTTTACATATACATATATCAACTCTTCATTAGAGTCTTGTTCCATATAGGCCATTACAGAGTATTGACTGCTCCCTGGGCTACAGTAGGTCCTTAATAGTTTCTATTTTATATATAGTAGTATCTATATGTCAATCCCAATCTCCCAATTTGTCCCTCTCCTACCTACCACTTGGTAACTGTAAGTTTCTTTTCTATATCTGTGACTCTGTTTCTGTTTTGTAGATAAATTCTTTGTACCCTTTAAATTTTTTAAAAAATACTTTTATACCCTTTTTTAGGTTTCATATATAAGTGATATAATATGTTACTCTGACTTACTTCATTCAGTATGACAATCTCTAGGACCATCCATATTGCTGCAAATGGCATAATTTAACTTTTTTGCGGTTGAATAATCTTCCATTGTGTATATGTACCACATTTTTTTAATCACTGAAATATGAACCTCAATTTCTTACTTTCTTCTTTAATCTTATTCAAAGAAAAAATTGGTTTTCTAGAGATGTCTTCTGTTCACAGCAGTTCAGCTAAAGTAGCTCTTAATGTATCAGCTCCTTTTGCCAGACTTTCACTCTCAGAATAATAAACTACAACCAAAATCAACTTCAAGAAGCATCTTAACTTGTCAGACAATGGATTCTGCACTTTCTTAGCAACTTACATAATCAGGGCCCTGTGGGTTGAGAAAAATGCACAGTCTGGAAGTTGAGAGTTATGTTTTATTCAGTGGACTTCCTAAGGACTTCAAGTTGGGGATGGAGCATCTAAGACAATGCTGAGAAACAGTTATAAAGAGGCAAGGGTAGGGGGTCAGGATGTATAGGAATTTTTGCAACAAAAGACTAGGTAGTCAGAACAACAAAAGATTACTGTTAATTAAAGAAAATCAGATATCTCAAGTAAATGAATTTAGCACTTCTATGTTTAGGGGGAGCTATAAGAGTTTGGGCTCACTGAAATCATTCCACTGACATGCACCTCAGCTATCTGGGCCAGTATCCTGTATTTTCTCATCCTGAGTTTCCTCAGGGCTCACTGCAGGGAGTGGCTGCAGTCTGGCGACTGATAGATGGCAAGTATTCTTTCCTTTCTGCGTTCCCTCAGGGCTCACCAGCTCATGATGGTGGCTATAGTCACTGATGATGGTGACATCCTTTGTTTACTAATATGGCAGGAAATATTTCATTTCCCATCTATACCATTAAAATAATAAAAGGTTGGGTTGGGCCTTTATTTGCCTAATAAAACAAGGTAATCAAACCATTAAAATATCAGCCAGGCCTACCACCCAAATAGATTTTCTCTATTCTCCCCTTTCTGTCCCTTTACAAACTATTGTCTGATTTATAATATGTTATTGTAAAACATGGTGTGCTAATGGGTTTCTTCCTGCTGATTGACAGGTTTGGGATTCAGGGAGACTGGATGATTATGATGAGCCATATTGCATGTTGCAAGAAAGAGACAGCCTGTTTTACAAGATGGTGCAACAACTGGGTGAAGCTGAGGCCACTGCTCTCACTGAAAGGGCAAAACAGGTGAGCTTGCTGTGGGAAGCTGTAACTAAAAGTTCGTCTCCACAGCACACTCCTCATGCTGTGGCACCACGGATGTGGTAACAAGCACTCTGTGTCCTTTTCAATTATAAGCCTCTGGAGACAAAACCTCATGACTGAGTCTTAACAGCACATACAGAAGGCAGATCTGCTGAGAATTGGCAGCTGTGTTGGTGGTGGGGTATAGGATGTGCATGCACACATGCATGAGAGATTTCAGATTAGAGTTTCCACATGATTGGAATCTGGGTTCCATGATTCTCATGGAACACAGTATACTCTCATTTTTCAGACCCTTTACTTTTGTCCTAATTGATGCTCAGAACATTGGTGATGCAAATGTTTCAAGGAACATCTAGGGAACTTGAGATTTTGAGGGAAATAACATTTGTAATATTCTAGGTCTAGGAAGAAGTATAATGGAAAGATGTAGATCACTTCTGTTTCTAATCTGTAAAGAAAACTAGCACCTGATAGTGTCACTTTCTTCCTAATTCTTTGTCATTTAGAATAAGGTCCAGTTGCCTCCCTTATGGGCTTCCCTGGCAGCCCAGCTGGTAAAGAATGCAGGAGACTTCAGTTTGATTCCTGGGTTAGGAAGATCCACTGGAGAAAGGATAGGCTACCCACCAGTATTCTTGGGCTTTCCTGGTGGCTAAGCTGGTAAAGAATCTGCCTGCATTGCAGAAGACCTAGGTTCGATCCCTGGGTTGGGAAGATCCCCTGGAGAAGGGAACAGCTACCCACTCCAGTATTGCTTCCTCTACCTTGTAGAAGATGAAATTGTCATCATGATAAATCAAGAACTCATAATGTTGCAGAGAGGAAGGCAATTCTAAGTCCATATTGGAAACTGTTTCTTTGACTTGCTTTCCATTGCTCTTGTTGTTATAATCAAATTTAATGGCTTGTCTGGAGGACCCTGTCCCTCCACTTAACTTTAAAATAAAACACCTTTGTTTGGTCCATGAAGAGAGAACTTGTCCCTGCCCACCTGTGAATCAATTCAGTTTAGTCACTTAATTGTGTCCAACTGTTTGCAACCCCATGGATTACAGCATGCCAGGCTTCCCTGTCCATCATCAAGTCCTGAAGCTTGCTCAAACTCTTGTCCATTGAATCAGTGATGCCATCCAACCATCTCATCCTTTGTCATCCCCTTCTTCTCCCACCTTCAATCTTTCCCAGCATCAGGTCTTTTCCAATGAGTCAGTTTTTCGCATCAGGTGAGCAAAGTATTGGAGTATCAGCTTCAACATCAGTCCTTCCAATTAATATTCAGGACTGGTTTCTTTTAGGATTGATGAGTTTGATCTCCTTGCAGTGCAAGGCACTCTCAAGAGTCTTCTCCAACACCACAGTTCAAAACCATCAATTCTTCGGTGCTCAGCTTTCTTTGTATCCAACTATCACATCCATACATGACCAATGGAAAAACCGTAGCCTTAACTAGATGGACCTTTGTTGACAAAGTAACGTCTCTGCTTTTTAATATGCTATCTAAAGTTGTCATACCTTTCCTTCCAAGGAATAAGAGTCATTTAATTTAATGGCTGCAATCACCATCTGCAGTGATTTTGGAGCCCAAAAAAATAAAGTCAGCCATTGTTTCCACTGTTTCCTCATCTATTTGTCATGAAGTGATGGGACTGGATGCCATGATCTTAGTTTTCTGAATGTTAATCTTTTACTTTTTTTTAATATTTTTTATATTTAAGCCAACTTTTTCACTCTTCTCTTTCATTTTCATCAAGAAGCTCTTTAGTTCTTCACTTTCTGCCATAAGGATGGTGTCATCTGCATATCTGAGGTTATTGATATTTCTCCCGGCAATCTTTATTCCAGCTTGTGCTTCCTCCAGCCCAGAGTTTCTCATGATGTACTCTGCATAAAAGTTAAATAAGCAGGGTGACAATATACAGCCTTGACATCCTCCTTTTCCTATTTGGAACCAGTCTGTTGTTCCATGTCCAGTTCTAACTGTTGCTTCCTGACCTGCATACAGGTTTCTCAAGAGGCAGGTCAGGTGGTCTGGTATTCCCATCTCTTTCAGAATTTTCCACAGTTTATAGTGATCCACAGTCAGAGGCTTTGGCACAGGCAATAAAGCAGAAATAGATGTTTTTCCGAGACTCTCTTGCTTTTTCAATGATCTAGCGGATGTTGGCAATTTGATCTCTGGTTCCTCTGCTTTTTCTAAAACCAGCTTGAACATCTGGAAGTTCACGGTTCACATATTGCTAAATCCTGGCTTGGAGAATTTTGAGCATTACTTTACTAGTGTGTGAGATGAGTGCAATTGTGTGGTAGTTTAAGCATTGTTTGGCATTGCCTTTCTTTGGGATTGGAATGAAAACTGACCTTTTCCAGTCCTGTGGCCACTACTGAGTTTTCCAAATTTGCTGACATATTGAGTGCAGCACTTTCACAGCAATATATAATGTTTCATACCCAGTTCTGTTTTGGGGGTAGCAAGCAACAAGAAAGTACAGTTGATAGGAAGGTGGATGTCTCAGTGGTTTCCTGTTTCACTTATGGAGTCGATTCTCTCTCTCCCATGATGACCTTTTTTTTTTAATTTTATTTTTTTTTCCATGATGACTTTATTGACAATACCCACAGATATATTCAGAGCCAGGGTTTATATAACATCTGTAATCGTACATTCAAGTGACCCAGCTCATAACATGAGTCAGCCTCAAATAGATTTTCTATTTTAAAGATTCAAACAAAACTTTTCATATTCTTCTTCAGGAGAAAAAAAAATGACAGTCAAAATCCATTTTCATCCAAACACATTTTGAAATAAGAGTTCACAAGTCTTGACTTTATTTCATTTTGTTATGTGTATCTGAGCCTGGGGACTCAGTGGTAAAGAATCTGCCTGCCGATACAGGTAACATGGGTTCAGTCCCTGGGTCAGGAAGATCCCCTGAAGAAGGAAATGGCAACCCACTCCAGTATCCTTGCCTGGAAAATTCCATGGACAGAGTAGCCTTGAGGATCCATGGGATTGCAAAAGAGTCGGACATGACTTAACAACTCAACAACAACAAATCTGTTAAGAAACTGACATATGATACAGTTACTGAAAACTGATGATTCTGGAACTTGCCAGCATTTCATTTCCTTTTTATTCTTATCATACATTTATCAGAAAACCTATATCTCTTCTAGTTCAGCTGGAAATTGGTAGAATTGAAGAACTTAGGCACCTGGCAAAGAACTGTCCTATATTGTGGCATCATCTTACATTTAAGAGAGGTTGGTTGGTTGAGTCCTTGTTGGATCTTTTCTACACGCCTTATGACTGCTTTGCCTTACAAACTAAATGCCAGGATATTTCATACATATATGCTAGCATTTCAGTGCTTGTCAATAAGAGTTTATAAAATATAGGGATTTCAACCTGGTGAAAATGAAGTCAAAGTGAAAGTCGCTTAGTTGTGTTCAACTCTTTACGACCCCATGGACTATACAGTCCATGGAATTCTCCAGGCCAGAATACTGGAGTGGGTAGCCTTTCCCTTCTCCAGGTGATCCCCCAACCCAGGGATTGAACCCAGGTCTGCCGCATTGCAGACAGATTCTTTACCAGCTGAGCCACAAGGGAATATTAGCATACAAATCTATTGTGTTCATTTTATGTGTGAAAATGACAAATCCTCATACAGTCACTAGATTTCCCAGCCTCTTTGTCACGCTGTTTTTAATTTATCTCCAGGCTTTGAGTCAGTAAAATGATTTTGTTTATCAATTAAATGTAGTGATAAAATATATCTGTGAATCAGAATGATCAGAACTCTAGTAGATCTACAGGTTGTTTGACATTAAGCCCAGTCCCACCAAGGGTTTTAATGGGGTTACTTCCTCCCTAAAATAAATAGATCTCTGCTTTTTTTTTCTTTCCATTTATTTTTATTAGTTGGAGGCCAATTACTTTACAACATTGCAGTGGTTTTTGTCATACATTGAAATGAATTAGTCATGGATTTACATGTATTCCCCATCCCGGTCCCCCCTCCCACCTCCCTCTCCACCCGATCCCTCTGGGTCTTCCCAGTGCACCAGGCCCGAGCACTTGTCTCATGCACCCAACCTGGGCTGGTGATCTGTTTCACCCTAGATAATATACATGTTTCGATGCTGTTCTCTTGAAACATCCCACCCTCGCCTTCTCCCAGAGTCCACAAGTCTGTTCTATACATCTGAGTCTCTTTTTCTGTTTTGCATATAGGGTTATCGTTACCATCTTTCTAAATTCCATATATATGTGTTAGTATACTGTAATGGTCTTTATCTTTCTGGCTTACTTCGCTCTGTATAATGGGCTCCAGTTTCATCCATCTCATTAGAACTGATTCAAATGAATTCTTTTTAATGGCTGAGTAATATTCCATGGTGTATATGTACCACAGCTTCCTCATCCATTCGTCTGCTGATGGGCATCTAGGTTGCTTCCATGTCCTGGCTATTATAAACAGTGCTGCGATGAACATTGGGGTGCACGTGTCTCTTTCAGATCTGGTTTCCTTGGTGTGTATGCCCAGAAGTGGGATTGCTGGGTCATATGGCAGTTCTATTTCCAGCTTTTTAAGAAATCTCCACACTGTTTTCCATAGTGGCTGTACTAATTTGCATTCCCACCAACAGTGTAAGAGGGTTCCCTTTTCTCCACACCCTCTCCAGCATTTATTGCTTGTAGACTTTTGGATAGCAGCCATCCTGACTGGCGTGTAATGGTACCTCATTGTGGTTTTGATTTGCATTTCTCTGATAATGAGTGATGTTGAGCATCTTTTCATGTGTTTTTTTGCCATCTGTATGTCTTCCTTGGAGAAATGTCTCTTTAGTTCTTTGGCCCATTTTTTGATTGGGTCATCATCTCTGCTTTTTAAAATGGTGACTCCACTAGTGATATAATTTGTGCCAACATGAAAAAGTGGACGTAGAAATGTATTGCCTCAGGGAGGACTTTACAACTTTTAAACATGCTGTTTTTGTCTTTTTTTCTCCCTCAGGTGCACCTCTAAAGATATCACTCATGGTGACCATGTGATTATGAACACTACAGTGGACAGCCTTCAGCCTTAACAATTTTTGAGTCAACACTGTGATTCTACCATGAGGTCAAGTCTATCCCAAAGTCATCTTTCCAATAGGTTTTACACTGTATAAACTATGTTGTACTTTTTTTTATACCAACAAGTATTTATACACACAAGATGTTAGTTTATCTATCTTTTTCCCTCCAACTACAGCAACTGATTCCAAGCTCTTACAAAATGATTTATTATTTTTATTTCTATGTTATACTATTTTCTTATCAAAATCAGAGGTTCAGGTCACCAGTAAAAGCTGTCTACCAGGTTTTCTGCCTTGAGAGATTCCAGAGCCAAAGCTCATTTTCTAATGTGTAAGACAAAGTTGTCACAGATGGTTTTTTTTTATATTGTTCCCCAAATTACCTACTACTTTCCAGTCATGTCAGGGCTTCAACTTACTTGAAGACTAGTGTGAAGTAGCTGTTTTGTGTCACCACTTCCTTTAATATAACTAGAATTCATTATTCTACCCAAAGATCTCTACTTAAAACACTACAGAGAAAACTAATAAGAAAAACAAAAATATATTGTAGTTTAAGTTAATTATGGGAGAGGAAGGTGTCTCCCGCTCCAAAAAAATTAAAATGATACATGGTTAAAATATAGAAGGACAATATTATGTTTTCTAAAAGAGAAGAAAGAGAAAATATGCTTTCTCAAAATAGAAGCCCTTCTAGGGGATTTGAGAATGAAGGACAGATGTGTGATCTGTTGTCTTCTAGATAGAGAGTTTTATTTTTTTAATTTTTTTATTGTGGTAAAATGTGTAACATAAAATTTGCCATAAAGTCACTTTTTATTTTTTCCATAAAGTCACTTTTAAGCATACAGTTCAGTGATGTTAATCCCATTCACAGTGTTGTGCAACCATCAATGTTTACTTTATTTTTGGTAATTATGTTAGTACTGTTCATTTTGTTATTTGTATAGTCATTTTTGGTAAGTTTTATTTCTCTAGAGGTGGATCTATTTCCTATGAGTTTTGAACTTAACTGGCATAAAGTTACTCCCTGTATTTATATCTTTTATGTTTAAACTCTGCAGAATCTATAGTTGTGTTATTTTTTTTCTTTTTAATTTTCTTTTGAGCCTTTTTTAAAATGAGTAATCTTACATGACTTTTTCCTATTTTAAAGAATCACAATTTTTGCTGAATTGATATTTCCTGTTTTCTTTTCTACTTCATATTATTCTGTCTTTCCTTCAACTTTTCATTTATTTTGAGATTGATTTCCTAAAATTCTTAAATTAGAAATTTAGATTAACTTTTAACTTAATCATTTTTTTAGTGTAAGTACATTAACTACTTTTTCTTTTTTTACCCTAAGACCCACTTAACTATAACCTACAAGTTTGGATACTAGCACTGATCAATAACCATACCATTAAGTATTTTCTAATATCTAATTGAATTCATTATTTATATCTTTTACCCATGAGTTATTCATAAGGGTAATATTCTCTAAATTTCAAGTGCTAATGGATTTTTTTCTATTAGACTGAACCATGGGTAACCACTAACTTTCAATCTTTTTTCACCTATATAATAACAGTTTAATATGGTTCAAAATAATAGTTTTCTTTTGTCATTAACATATAACAATTTCAACATTTGAATGAGTCAGACAACATTCAATTGAGGATTTTAAACTAAAGGTAACCATGTTTACATACAAAGTTCCTGTTTGCACCACTTGTATTTTATTTGGGAAAATTTAAAAGTGTTAAAAGTATGTGTATAAGCAGTAAAGTTCAAATAAAAATCCTCCCCGAGTACTGATTTTTTTTTTTTAATACGTGTTGCAGAATGGTTCTCTGGGATACAGATTCAGATGGAGTTTAGTTCTGGAATGTTTATCAGGGGTTCCCTTGGGATCAACACTTATAGAATCAGGAGAGAAGAAACAGGGTAGGGCAGAGGGGAAATCAAGCTGGAACTCTGTTCAGATGATGTTAGCTGACCCCATGGGGGCATGGAGTGAAGATAGTCCCTCAGGGTTGTCCTGACAAGTCCACTGGCCAGGTTTTTATGCTTCCACCTGGATGGGTCATTGCATAGAAGCTACCCCCAGAGGACCTGGTGGCTGAAGACTGCCCACTGACAGCACATCCAGCAACTGGACGACAAGTCCTCAAAGGGAGGTCTGGACAGCACATCACCATGTCCCCACAGCAAGGGTCACAGCTCCAGAGGTAGGTGATGAGGATGTACTGTGGGGAAAACTCTTGATTTTTTAGTGTGCAGCTCAACCCTGTGCACCTCCCACTTCAGTCATAAAAAAGTGAGGAATAGTTAGAGGAGCTTGTGTTTTCAAGTCCAAAGCCAATACTGTGCATTGATTTATATGATTCTATTTTTGAATCAGTACCATGGTCCAAATGTTGAAGAATATACCTGAAAACACAACAGGCCACTTTAAAACTCTTCAGAGTTTTGTAACCACAAACTTTGTGTTAAAACTTGTTTTACACTATTAAAAATATTGATAATCTATAATAGGGCCTTCTGAAAGCTTGTATGGTCTCATTTTAAACATAAATATCATGGTGACCATTAACTCACATGCTAACAGTGTAATACTCAAATTCTCCAAGCCAGGCTTCAACAGTACGTGAACTGTGAACTTCTAGATGTTCAAGTTGGATTTAGAAAAGGCAGAGGAACCAGAGATCAAATTGCCAACATCCTCTGGATCATCAAAAAAGCAAGAGAGTTCCAGAAAAACATCAACTTCTGCTTTATTGCCTATGCCAAACCCTTTGACCGTGTGGATCACTATAAACTGTGGAAAATTCTGAAAGAGATAGGAATACCAGACCACCTGACCTGCCTCTTGAGAAACCTGTATGCAGGTCAGGAAGCAACAGTTAGAACTGGACATGGAACAACAGACTGGTTCCAAATAG